TTGTCTTCTGGAGTTTCCCTATATTTGTGTCCGTGGTCACTTTTGGTGCTTGTATACTTATGGGGATCCCACTTGAATCAGGGAAGATATTATCTGCACTTGCAACATTTAGAATACTTCAAGAGCCTATTTATGCTCTTCCTGACGCAATCTCCATGATAGCTCAGGTTAAAGTTTCCCTAGACCGAATTGCGTCATTCCTTCGCCTGGAGGACCTGCAACCTGATGTTATAGAAAAGCTTCCAAGAGGTAGTTCTGATACAGCATTTGAAATAGTTGACGGGAATTTCTCTTGGGATGTATCTTCCTCAAATCCAACATTGAAGGATATAAATTTAAGTGTGTCCCATGGCATGAGAGTTGCTGTTTGTGGTACTGTTGGGTCAGGCAAGTCGAGCTTACTGTCATGTATTCTGGGAGAAGTGCCCAAAATATCAGGGAGCCTGAAGCTCAGTGGGACAAAGGCCTATGTTGCTCAGTCACCCTGGATACAGAGTGGAAAGATAGAAGATAATATACTGTTTGGTAAGGAGATGGATAGAGACAAGTATGAGCAGGTTCTTGATGCATGTTCCTTAAAGATGGACCTGGAAATTCTATCCTTTGGTGATCAGACGGTTATAGGCGAGAGGGGAATAAATTTGAGTGGCGGACAGAAGCAGAGAATACAGATTGCACGGGCTTTGTACCAAGATGCTGATATTTATCTATTTGATGATCCGTTTAGTGCTGTGGATGCTCATACAGGGACTCATCTTTTTAAGGTAACTTTCTCTACATTTCCACTCCTAAATATTTCTCAGTTTGAGGAATGTGTTTTCACATCTTTGTATAATAAATTCATTTCTTTTTTTCAAGTGTGACGTCATTAATTCAGTAAAAACTTATTTATGGGAAAAAAAACATTACTTAGTAAACATTTAGTTTTCTCCAAATTCTGTTTGTAACTATTTATGTTCATACACTCATGTTGTCATAAGTAACATAGTTTGACTTAACTCTATAACTCTTGGAATTCCATTTTCTTCTACTCTGATTTGTTGCCTTTATTTCTTCTTTTTTTATTTCTTTATTCAAACAATATACAAGTCAGTCACCAATGGTTCTTTTGATCTTTGTATGACAGGAATGTTTACTTCAATTTCTGGGGTCAAAAACAGTGATTTATGTTACTCATCAAGTAGAGTTCTTACCTGCTGCAGATCTCATTTTGGTGAGCTATTCGTGTTTTCTTTCTTCCATGGCTTTGTATCCATGGCTGCAACTCATGGGATCTAATTACTTTATCTTCAGGTTATGAAAGATGGGCGCATTACGCAATCTGGAAAATACAGTGAAATTCTCAATTCAGGAAGCGACTTCATGGAACTTGTAGGTGCACATGAGAAAGCTTTATTGGCACTTGATTCCATCGAGGCAAGGTCAGTTGAAAATTCAACTATCAGGAAGGAAGGCATGGAGAGTGCTGAGAAGGTTGTCAAGAAAGAGGATACTAGTAATGGTCATATTGATAAAGCAGATGATAATTTGGGGCCAAAAGGACAGCTTGTTCAAGAAGAAGAAAGAGAGAAAGGTAGAGTTGGCTTTTCTGTCTACTGGAAATATCTCACAACAGCCTATGGAGGAGTTCTTGTGCCCTTCATGTTGTTGGCACAAGTTTTCTTTCAGCTACTTCAAATTGGGAGCAATTACTGGATGGCTTGGGCAACCCCAGTGTCAAAGGACGTGGCACCTGCAGTTAGCGGATCTACGCTCATAATTGTCTATGTGTCTCTGGCTATTGGAAGTTCTTTTTGTGTCCTTATGAGGTCCTTGCTTCTGTTTACGGCTGGGTATAAGACAGCCGTGGTACTATTCAATAAAATGCACTTGTGCATTTTACGAGCCCCTATGTCTTTCTTTGATGCCACCCCTAGTGGCCGAATCCTGAATAGAGTAAGTGACTTTTTATTTGTTTCTTAGCAGTTATCACGCAAGTATTTGTTTGTTTGTTGTTACCAAAAAGGAGAACAGAAGTTCATAATCTTACTCGATCAAGTTGTTTTCTCTGACAGGTATCCACGGACCAAAGCACAGTGGACTTGAACATTCCATTTCAAATTGGGAAGTTTGCTTTCGCAATGATACAACTCCTTGGAATTATTGCAGTAATGTCGCAGGTTGCATGGCAGGTCTTCATTGTTTTCATTCCTGTGCTTGCAGTCTGTGTCTGGCTACAGGTAGACTAACCTTATCTCTGCTTTTAATTTTTTTTAGTTGTTAGAATCTTATAATTTAATGTCTAAGCTAAAGTACCTGTAGCTTTACGACCTTCCTTGGTAAAAATTGGTATTATTCCAAAGCATTTGATGGGAAAATTCATGGCAGTGTTTTCTGCTTCTTCCCTGTATTGTACCATAAATCCTACTCGAGGAAGCGGGACTGTTGCACCTTGTCATGTTTGTTTTATTTGAATTTGGATGTTAAAGCCTTGTTAATAAGATTCATATATTTCCTCTTGAATTATATATATGCATAGTTTTAAAATCTCAAGAATGAGAGGAAGCTTCTGATCAGAGATGACAACATGGCTGATTTGGGATAGAGGACCCTTATTCCAAACCCTTCTTGTGATATAAAACTCATTCCCAAACTCGATTTGATTTCCTAAACTTAGGGTTTGGGCTGGTTCGATTCACCTAGTACGCGAATTTAAAAAAAAAAAACAAAACAAAACAAATTCAAGATGTTTTTTTTTAAAAAAAAAAAATATGTGTAAGGAAATATTTAACAATTCTATGCCTAAATTTCTTACTCAACCTAAATCCCAACTTGAAAGAAAAATTCATTTTAATTTAAAAACTATATTGGTACTTATATGTATAATGAGAATTGTTCTATTGATCTTTTGAATTGCAGCAATATTACATCCCTTCAGCACGAGAATTGGCACGGTTAATTGGAGTATGCAAAGCTCCAGTTATACAACATTTTGCTGAAACATTGTCGGGATCAACTACCATTAGGAGCTTTGACCAGGAATTGAGATTCCAGGACACAAGTATGAAATTGATAGATGGGAATTCTCGGCCCAACTTTCACAGTGCTGGTACAATGGAGTGGCTACGCTTCCGTGTGGATATGTTGTCTTGTATTGTATTCGTCTTCTCTTTGGTTTTCTTGATCTCTATGCCAGAGGGAGCAATTGATCCAAGTAAGTGGTTCTTGTTTGTCAACTTCATTGACTATTGTTTCTTGCTCCATGGAAAATGGTGTACAAGGAATGCATTACACTCTCTCTCTTTTTCTTCATGAATTGAAGGCATCGCGGGATTGGCAGTGACATACGGGCTTAATCTGAACGTGTTACAAACTTGGGTCATATGGAACCTGTGCAATATGGAGAATAAAATTATATCAGTTGAAAGGATACTTCAATACACTTCTATCCCAAGTGAGCCTCCTCTTGTGATAGAAGCAAGTAGGCCAGATCGTAACTGGCCATCACTTGGAGCAGTTGATATTCAAGATCTGCAGGTAATTTCCACTTCCATGCTATTTGTGTATTCTTTTTTAATGCAAAAATAGTTCCCATTTACTTTATGCCCGCATATTTAATGGTTTTGGGCATGAATATAGGTCCGATATGCTCCTCATCTGCCAATTGTATTACGAGGCCTGACATGCACTTTTCATGGAGGAATGAAGACTGGAATAGTGGGGAGAACTGGCAGTGGTAAATCAACTCTCATACAGACACTCTTCCGCATTGTTGAACCAACAGCTGGACAAATTTTGATAGATAGTATCAACATTTCCTCAATTGGACTGCATGATTTACGGTCTAGATTGAGCATCATTCCTCAGGATCCTACCATGTTTGAGGGGACAATACGAAGCAACTTGGATCCACTTGAAGAGTACACAGATGAACAAATTTGGGAGGTGAGTTTGGTTTCATGTTGATTAGTACGCTAATTTGGTACAGGAGGAATTTTTTTTTCTCGCATTGATTAATGATACTCTGTAATGTACACCTGTTGTTGGGATTTGAATGCTTAGGCTCTTGACAAGTGCCAACTTGGAGATGAAGTTCGAAAGAAGGAAGGCAAACTTGATTCAGCAGGTTTTTTCATCCACCATTATACATGGAAGTTGTATGTGAATTTCTTAAACCCATATAACCATAGAATCTTATTTCCCAAATGTTCCTATGATGGTTGCAGTTGGTGAGAATGGAGAGAATTGGAGTATGGGTGAAAGGCAGCTGGTATGTCTTGGCCGTGTGCTACTCAAGAAAAGCAAGGTCTTGGTGCTTGATGAAGCTACTGCATCTGTTGATACTGCAACTGATAATCTGATTCAGCAGACCCTGAGGCAACACTTCACTGATTGCACCGTGATAACCATTGCACATCGAATAACTTCTGTACTAGATAGTGACATGGTCCTACTTTTAAATAGTGGTTTGTGTCTCCTCATTAGTCTCTCATTATCTTTAAGACTGTTTGTGTACAATCATCTTGATTTTCAAATTTTATTTACTTCTGCGCAGGAGTTATCGAAGAGTATGATTCTCCAACAAAGTTGCTGGATAACAAGTCATCTTCCTTTGCAAAGCTCGTAGCAGAGTACAGTACAAGGTCAAATTCTAATTTTGAATAGTTACAAACATTTGGTTGCAGGGCCTTCATTAGGCATGAATTTACACGATGATGACGAAATTAGGCAGTGGTTACTATCTCCCTTTTACTCTTACGTACAAACTAGTTTTTCTTAACTGGGATGTTCATTTTAAGATTGGTGTGACATAGAAATGCAAAGTCATAGGTGCAGTTTGTTCCGTATAAAACGCTGTTGTAGTGCAGTGCACTATTAGAATCTAGAAATATATGATTTTGATAGCGGAATAAATTGGTGTATGTTTCGTTTACACCAATATGTTGACTTTATTTTTGATCTAGCAATACATTTTTACAACACATTTTTCTTGAGCTTTTTATATGTGGAACAAAGAAAACTAGGAATACAACTCAATTGCAATTACAATTGGAGAAATTTGATTATAATAAAAATAGAGGATTTGAACATCATGATGTTGCTACATAAATCAAGAAAACACTTTGAAAGAAAATGTAAAATCACGACCCATTATTTTTGATGAGTTCATTATCCTCTCTTAAAACAGAATTAACTACAGAAACATCCATCCTGGCTGATTCTTGTTTCACCCATTCCACCACCCTCTCTGCCTGTCTGCTGACTCTGTCCTCTTCCTTCATCGCCTTCTTTAGCCTTCGATCTTGTTCTTTCACCGAAAACGTGCTCATATCAGATAGAATCTCATCAGTCTTTCCCCAATCCCCATTGTTTTCCACATCTCTTCCTCCCTGGCTCTTCTTCTTTCCATTGTTACTTCTTGAGGAGTACCAAAAGCAACAGATCGGCCTAGGAGGAGACTCTGACTCCATACTCAATTTGATTTAAATCAGAAAAGATAAAGAACAACCCTGCGTTTGACTCCGCCCAATATCAACATGGTCTGCTTTTCCACATTGATATGATCATGAGCACTTGAAGACTCATTTGATTGCAGAGATTTAAGACTCAATTTGGTTCACGCACTCATTTGATCATTCCGTGAAGCAAAGAATCAGGATTGTGAGGAGATGAGAATTTCCCAGAAGATGTCATCATCTCATATCATGTGCATAATTTTTTTTTTCCTGAATTGCTTACATGTTTTGGGACCCATTTTTGTGTTTTTGTTATCCAAAAGTTTGAATATTAAACCAAACAAATTACTATATAATTTGATTTGGAGTTGGTAGAGCGTAACATCAAGCCAAGCTGGAGCATTTCATGTATGCTTCCGATCGTTCCAGTTGCAAGTATAAATACATATTTTTTTATTTGCACTCTAGTATAAATACATGAAGAAGTGAAAGAATGTTCAAAGGTTAAGTGTGGATTAGACACCTAAAGGGTGTGTTAAATTTGTATATTATTTTTCAGTCCTTTTTATTGTTGATAGATTATAGTAGTAATTAAATAAATCAAACAAGCACCAAATTAGTCTTTGTTTTTTCTTTTTCTTTGTTAGCATACAAATCAGTCAGACATATATAAATAAATAATATGCATATAGAGCATAGACAACAAATTTTTATTCAAACTCAAAACGATAAATTATCAGAACATTGACTCCTTAGCTCAATAATAACTATTGTTTCAAAAAAAGGAAAAAAAGAAAGTAACCTATAATTTTTATACAAAATCCATTATTCTTACATTATTTTTGATATGCAAAAAAATTAAAATTAAATAAAAATTACTATATTATGTTGAAGAACATAGGACCACGAAGAGCAATAAAAAAATACTCTAAATTCAATCTCTCTCTCTCTCTCTCTATATATATATATATATGTGTGTGTGTGTGTATGTATGATGTATGTATATATCCAAATAAAAAGATTTGAAACTATACTATACAATAATACTCCTTCCGAAAGCTGGGTCCCTATTTTGAGACTAAAGAAATATATATATATATATATATATATATATATTTTCTTACAATATAAAAATTTTAAGGGGCCAAAATTACTTATAAATCTATCATATTGGCCATGATTTTCACGCGGCAAAGATCTCGGCCAAGTGTTAGAGGGTTGAAACTGCGCATCCAAGCACCCCTGTGGCACCTAGTAATAGCCGTCTCTGACTGACCCATCTTTAGTGGATCCCACATGGTTTGAGTTGACTAAAGTGCATTTCCTAGGAATGCGAAGTGACCCGGTGAGCTTCCGATGAGAATTATGATTTGAGATCTATGATCAACCAACCCAAATGGGCCAATTATGGACTCGGGGAATGATACCCATTGTACTTAAACCCTTTTTTTTTTTTTTTTTTTTATTAAATTAACTCAGGTATCCGGAAAGGCACGAACTCGACGATCACTTAATAATTTGATTAATTTTCGAAAATTCGAAAAGGTGCCTCTCCGCCCGGTCTAGACAAGTCAATGTAGGAGCAATGGAGACTAGTTACCAAAAACACCCAGCAGGGATTCAAACCCCAGGCCTAAGGCTTAGTAAACACCTAAGTCCAGTGAAAAACTGGCTAAATCATATCCGAAATGAATATTGTACTTTACAATAACTTGTTGAACTATTGTTGAAGGATCCATGAGGTGTTAGGCCCATAGAAATTATAATTATTAATTTTTAAAATGGTAATAGATATTTTCTGTTTTTTTAAATCCCCGGAAATGAGATGGATTATAGTAGGTAAAAATTAAACTTGAAATTTGGTAAATTCTCTCCCTTTTTTCTTTTTCGATCTAATTATCTCCATCATGATATAAGTCGAAAAGAAAAGCTAAAAATTATTACATGATCCAAAATTATATAATGTTAGCCAATCATAATTCAGACACACAAACAAAAAGTAAAATAAAATTAATACATTTATTTATGTATTAGGATTGTCATAATTGACTAAGACCATATAATAATTTTTCATAAAAATTCTCATTTTGTCTACATTCATGTATGCAATATGCTAAAATTTACTTTGTAATTTAATTCAAAATAGTCTGTAATTGTCACATGTGCAGTTCATCATCCTCATAAAGTCCCAATGTGTGACCAAAGAGAGAGGAAGCATTGTCCATGCAAATGGCCGGATTATTTTACTAATAGCTCATGTGCTTTAATAGATTGGCTTCCACTCAACTATTACTACTATGTTATTTATAGTTGACTTATTTGTTTAGCAATTGACTACCAAAAAAATACTAGAACGCGGTTAAAGGAAAATTTGCGAACCATTAAATGGTGACAGTCAACTATATAGCCTATATATATAAGTCAATAAATGTTAATTTTTATTTAGTAAAAAAAAAAAAAAAAAAATTCACAAATTTCGCTCATCAGTGGATTTTTAGCCAACGGAGAAGAAACAATTTCCAATTAAGCTAATTACCAAAAAAAGAAAAACAACTTTGAATTAAGCAGGTTTGATTTTTGTGAACTTAACATATAATCAACGGAATAGATCACTGGGCGATTTACGTAACAGTGGTACAGTTTGTCATGTGATTTTACATTGCAACCTTCAAAAGTCAGGAGCAAACGTGCCTCAATCTTCAGTTTATTTGTTTAATGTGATGCAAGTCAAAGTTAAGGATACCAACTTGTAAGAGTTTTTTGAATCAGGACTTTCGAGAATGAAGTGGTGCAACCTTCAAAAGTCAGAAGCAAACGTGACTCAATCTTCAGTTTATTTTTTTAATGTGATGCAAATCAAAGTTAAGGATACCAACTTGTAAGAGTTTTTTAAATCAGGACTTTTTGAGAATGAAGCGGTGTTATATATAATGTTATACATAGATAGATATATATATAGAGAGAGAGAGAGAGAGAGCGAGCTTGTTCTCACTCTTGTTGTCCGCTAGTCAACACCCATTATATATAACAGCAGAATCAGATCATCCATCAAAGAGGCTATTCCAAGAATTCACCATTCATCTGGTGAAGCTAGCTAGCTAGCCAGCCAAAATATGAAGGTAAGATTTGTCGTACAAGCATGTACGACGTCTCCAATTAAGATTAATGGTTTTGACATGTTTGATTTGATTGTGCAGCAAAAGATAATTATTAAGGTGCAAATGACATGCGATAAATGCCGGTCCAATGCTTTGTCCATTGCTGCCATGGCATCCGGTATGTAAAAAATTAAGTTAAGCCAGTGTCGAATTTCATCTTCCAAACCATGTCTCAAGAGATTTTTTTACACAATTTAATCTAGATTTGAGTGAAATGAAGATAATTTTGAGTTTCTTATATAATGTCGTAGGTGTTATCTCAGTGGGATTGGAAGGGGAAGAGAGAAACAACATAGTAGTGATTGGAGAGGGTGTGGATGCAACTAGCTTGACAAAGTCATTGAGGAAGAAGATCGGAAAAGCAAGCTTAGAAAGCGTCAAGGAAGTAGAACAAGTCAAGAAGAAAGTCGAAGAAATAAAAGATATTAAGATTGAAAATGGTGGTGGTCAAGGCATTGAACCAATCCTAACCCTATGGACACCAAATTACACTACTCAGTTTCAAATCTATGAAGTGGTTCGTGATCCAGACCCACCTAGTTGCACCATCATGTGATTAAAATGAACTGTTAAAAAATTGACTTCAACATCAAGGCATTTATGGTTTTCTTGATTAATTATATTGTAATTGTTAGTCAATAATAGTCATGAACTCAACAGTAGCATGCAATTTTTTTTTGGTTCCCTTTAATTTCCAAGTTGTGAAAATTTTAATTTACATGCATTTTGGTGCCAGATCATATACTGGTGGACAATGAAAAGTGGCAAATTTTGAAGAGAAACATGTCTTTGCAAATTGTTTGCAAAAATGTAATTTTAATAAATGGATTAAATTTTCATCTCGTGTCAAGATTTTTGGAGCAATTCTTTTCTTCAATCCAGTTGTTAATTAGGGATCAATATTGTTTTTCATTGATAATAATGTATTCAGTTTCCATGTTTTTTCAAAATGTATAAAAGGAACTGATAGATATCAATCTTCTTCTTCATTATTATTTTTTTCACACAATTCACAATTCATGATTTTTAGTCCTGCTTGTTAATTTGACCCATTATTATATATTGCTACATCTAATGTATAAAATAATAAATAATAAATAATAAAAAACCTCTTTGAAATATTCACTGATATTTTTTTGTTGCCTTTTGATTGATTAAATTTGAATATTGTTATTTTTTTTTTGGGAGAGATTTATGGTTAGCTGAGTGAATTGTGTGGTAATGCGTCAATAATGGGGATAGGATGCATTTCTCTCTCAAATTGATAGCAAATTTGCCAAATTTTGGTTTAAAAAAGATGTTTTTGAGTTTTTTTCCTGCTAAATTTTCCTCTAAAAATTAAGTTTTTAATAAATAAAAAAATTCGATAATCGGGGTGTCAAGACTTTGCCCCGACTAATTCACAGAACCCGTGTAAAGCGACCCCCTCCCCACACAAATCGGGTAAAACTCGGATTATGTCCGCGATCGTGACCTCAAAAAATTGCTCGTACCTAAAAAGAATTGAACTTGAGACTTGAAATTTAATGAGTCTCTATGGCCCAAGCCTTTTCCACTAAGCCAACCCCTTGGGGTTTTAAGTTTCTAATAAATTTTAGATCAAGCAATTGATTGGTCTTTAGAGAACTTAATTGTTCATTAATTTTAGGAAAAAGTGCAATAAACTCCCTTGAAATATTGGTAAATATGTAAAAAAAAAAAAAAAAAACATGCAAATAACTCCTTCAACTGTGCAATAATGTACTCAGTTTCCATGTTTTTTTCAAAAAGGATAAAAGGAACTAATTGATATCAATCTTCTTCTTTTTTATTATTATTTTTTGGTTCACCCAATTGACGATCTATGATTTTTAGCCGTGCTTGTTACCCACATTACAAGAAAAACAGTTTTTTATCACGGTGGAAAACACTTTCTACCACGATTTTGAACAGTGATGGAAACGGCTGTAGTAGTAAGTGGAAACTTTCTATCACGGTGCAGAACCGTGGTAAAAAGAAGACTTTCCACCATGGTTCAGAACCGTGATAGACACGGTGCATAACCGTGATAGAAAAAATAACATTCTATCACAGTGCAGATTAGTGGTAGAAAGTGTTATATAATTTAAAAAAAAAAAATAGTATATAGCCCTTATGAGGGCTTTGTTTTT